ATGAGGAAGGTCTAATCCATTGTGGGTGGTGCCATTCCTGGGCTGGTGGTCCTGGGTTCCATAAGCAAGCAGGCTGAGCCAGCCAGGAAGCAGCACCCTTCCGTGACCTCTACACCAACTCCTGCCTTTAGGTTCCTTCCATTTGAGCTCCTGTCCTGACTTCCTTTGACGATAAATTGTGATGCAGAAGCAGAAACCAAATAAATCCTTTCCTCCCTGGGTTGCTTTGGTTATGGTGCTCATCACAGTAACACTGACCCTAAGATAGGTGGTATCTTTTTTTTTTTTTTTTTTTTTTTTTTGATAGGTGGTATCTTTGTAGAAACAATTACTTTAATGAAACTCCTCCCTCCCCCGCAAAAAAAAAAAAATCTTATAGTCTTGTGGGACATAGTGGCACATACCTTGTCATCTCATCACTCTGGAAGCTGGGACAAGAACGATAAATTCAAAGATAGCCTGGCCTACATAATAAGACCCTTTATCAAAAAGCCGAAGGCTTGGATGTGGCTTAGTGTTAGAGCACTTGCCGAGCAGCTCAATTCCCAGTCACACAAAAAAAGTTTATAGTCTAGTATTTGACCAGAGAAGACCTTAATCAGCTAAGCAACAGAGTTGCTCTGTATTTTAATCCCGAGCCCAGCATCTATTCCACTTTTTGTATAGTGTGATGTTTGAGTCAGGGCTCACTTCCGTGTGCCGTTGCTCCACCACAGCTCTTGAAATTACTCGTGCACCATTGTATTATTTCTGCACTTTGCAAAGATCCAGTTGGTTTAAAGGATTTGCAAACCAGTTGGTCATATTTGTGTGGATGTGTTTTGGGGGTCACTCTTTCTCTCACACACTCCCCAAGCTACAGGATTGTTCTAGAGCCTCACGCAGGCTAAGGGAGCACTCTACCACCAAGCTACTCCCAACTGAGACTTTGGAGTTCTATTCCTCTGGCCTGTGTGCCCCGCCCCAACACCACAGTCCGAATTACCGCAGCAGCTGTTAATGAAGCCTGACTACTGGGTAGGAGGGGTCCTTCAAGCCACCTGCTTTCAAAATTGTCTTAGCTATGCCAAGACAACATTTCCAAACCAGCTTTAGAACAAGCTTGCCAATATCTACAAACAAAACTGTATCTTCTTTATTTTGTTGGCTATTTAAATGTATTTTACTTAGGTTAAAAATATGTGGAGGTTTTGATGTTTATCCTTATGTTACAGGTTTCCAGTTTAACTTCATAGTAATCTCTGACTTTAGACTTTTGAAATGTTTGGGATTTAGTTCATGGCCCATCACATGGTCAATTTTGGCAAAATACTCAAAGTGCTCTTGAAAATAGTATGTATACTGCAATTATTGAGTGGGCTATCTTAAACGAGGCAGGGGAATGTTGTTAATTTCATTGTTCAAGTCTTCCACTTTTACGGATTTCTGTCTGTTCTGTCAGATACTGAGAGAGGTACTCAGGCCAGTAATGTGGTTGCGAGTTTGTTTCTTACTCTTTTTAATTCTGTGAAATGTTCTTCATGTGTTTGGGGTTCTATTGTCAGGCGGGTTTTAAATATCATCCTGGATCCATCTTATTTGTTATTATTAAATTCTCCTTTCCCGTATCTACTGTCCTCCTTCCCTTTCTCTGATAGTAGGATAGCTATAGCAGCTCGTAGAGTGGTGGCTGGCACGCTACATCATTCATGCTCTCTTTCAATTCTTAACTTGGTGTGTGTGTGTGTGTGCATGCGTGTGTGTGTGTGTGTGTGTGTGTGTGTGTGTGTGTGTGTGTAATGGAAGCTAGCACTTTTTGAAAATAAGTGCCCCAACACACTGAGATGTGTCCCAGCCCTGATTTGTTTTAAGATAGGTTTTATTCTGGCCAGGCTGGCCCTGACCTCAGTTCTGTCCCCTTTGCAGCCTTGAATTTGCACTCCTCCTACCTGGGCATCCAAGGAGGCCTGGCTTTCAACAACATTTCCTTTCCCTCAATATTTATACTGCATGCCTTCTAAGAAATCTGTAGTTTAATGTTTTCTAAAAACTGTAATCTGGAGCTCCATTTTTACACTTGGCGCTTACTGATAAATTGCTGTTTAAATCCACCATGGTAGCTGCTATTACATTATGAGCTGTTGGCTTCACCTTTCCCAACTCACTAACTCTGCACCATTGCCTTGCCCCAGTTCTGGGTGCACGAAACTCTTACCACGGTAAAGCCAGTGGTGCTGCACAGCTCTCGGATGACCCAGGGCTCTGCTAAAGTGCAGTTCTGACTCTCGCCCAGGAGTATCAAGAAAAAGTGCTGCAAAGAGTCATTTTTTTAAAGCTCCATCGATAATTCTGATGGACAGTAAATTATCTTCCTACAGCTTCTGATGGCAGATATGGAAAACATGGCCATAAAAGTTCCTTTAGGATCTACCTGTTTTGTCTTCTTCTTGCGAGCCTCTGTGTGTATGAGAGAGAGAGAGAGAGAGTACATGTATATGAACATGTGTGTGTGTGTGCATGTGTGGTACATGTGTGTGAGTATGGAAGGTTCCACGTGTCCTGTCTGACCACACTCCACCTTACTCCCTTGAGACAGAGTCTCTCCCTGAACCTGAAGCTACTCTGGTATCCAGAAAGCTCCAGCAGTCCCTCTTGCTTTTGTCTGACCCAGCGCTGGAGTTAGAGGCACACACAGCCATGCCCAGCCTTTCTTTACATGGTTACTGGGGATTTGAACTCAGATCCCAATGCTTTTACAGGAAGTGCTCTTACCTGCTAAGCCATCTCCCGGGCCCTGGCCTCTAAACACCCGTGCTGTCTCTGCACAGGGCCCAGGTAGCGTCCTAGTTAGACATCAGCCCCAGAATGGCTGGCTGTCTCAGCCAGAAAGCTCAGTGTTACAGGTGCAATGGTAAACACTCATTTTCATGTGTCTGAGATGCCTAAACTTAGACATGCAAATGCCCCAGAAGCCTAGTCTCTATGCTGTCAGGCCCAGGCTTTGCTGCCTGCGGTTTAAATGTCTGCACTGGCTCCCTTCTCTGCAGCTTGCCTCGTGTCACCAGAAGTCTTTCTAGAAGACTGCTGTGTTTCTGTTTACACTATGTCCATAGATCTGTAGTTCTCTCTCCGAGGACATATGATGTGTGCCAAAACTACTCAGTCACCACACACTGTGGGGTTTGTCTTTGTTTTATTGTAAGTTACCGTGGCTTAGAATTTTACAAAGTCACCTTGCACAAACGTGAACTCTTGTTTGCCATAGGAAAGGGCGGTACCTGTCCTAACCACAGGAGCCCCCAAGGATGCTACAGATCATACCTCTACCTCTTCTGAAATACAGTGCTTCAGCTGTTTAGAGCTGAAGTTAGCATACCAGTTTTACCTTCTACAGTCAAAGACAGGAAAAAAAAAAAGAGTTGTTGGAGGGTATAAGATTAAACAATGTTTCACTGTAAGCAAGGAAAAAAAAGGTTCTGCAGTCAAAGAAAACCAAAATAAATCAAGGAAAAATTCTTCATTAACTGAACATATAAAAAATATTTTAGTGTGACCTTTCACCAAAGTAAGAACAATAAACCAACAGCTATGCCCTAAAGTGAGTAGAGACATTTGAGATATGAGATCACATTGCAGATACAATGCACTTGGTAGTGTGCTCATAAAACAAGTATTCATTTGAGGCTTGTTTTCCTGTCTTTCCTACAAGTCTTTTAACAAGGCATTTTGTTGGGGACAGAATTCTGAAGGACTTTTGTTTGCTTGCTTGTTTTTGCTTAGCCTGAAGGTTTTTAAAAACACACTATTGAAAAAATTAAAAACTGAAACTCTCAGACTATTTAGTGGGCACAAGACACTTGCTACTTAAGGCTCCTGGTGGCCTGCTGGGTGCTTCACTGTTCAGTAGTCAGAATGAGTGGCATATCAAGACCACAGCGTGGCTTCCGCTTTCTCCTTCCAAGAGTTCCTTCCCAGGGTGAGGCTCCACGCATGACCCCCTGGGCTGGCTTCTGGGTGGTATGGTTCTCCACAAAGGCCCCCCAAGCTACCCTCACAGCCCATGGCCTTTCTGCAAGCCTGAGGAAGGGGCTCCGGACTGCCAGCACAGGGCAGCTTCCCAGCAGTGTTCTCTTCCCTCTGCCCTGGTCATCTGAGAATTATCCCCGGAAGCAATGTAGTTACCAATCCCAACAGAAACAGGCTTCCGGCCTCTGTATCTCTGAGTATCTTACACAGTAAGAGCCATTTTTAAGATGGGTCTTTTGTACCAATTTCAGCCAGGGTTGTCTCTTTGGTCAAGCTGTAATCATGGTACAACGAGGGTTACTAACACCTGCAGGAGACACAAGCACCCCCTTCTATTCTCTCACTTGATCTGTACCCTAATTCTGTGAGGTAGTGGAGTAGATGCACTGTGGAGCAAAGTACCTTGGCTGCCCAAGGTGGCTCGTGAACCTGGGAAGCCTGGCCCCTGTCTGGGTCTGCAACTGCCCTCCTGCCACTTTAAACACAGTTTTGGAAGATGAGGTGCTAGGTGTGGCCAAACACCTGGAGAAGGTGGGGTTCCTGCACATTCATCAAGCCACCCTGAGCATGTGCAAGGTGGGAAGGTAAAAAATGTTCAACCAAAATGAGTTCCTGAGAAAGTCAACTGCTTCAAATTCTGTAAGGAGAGAACACAACAAGAACTGACACCTGCCTGAAGAAATCCTTGAACTCTCTGACCCGCTTGAACTTAACTGCGGGGAACCCATGGGTGTTCCACATTTTAACATTTTATCACAAGGCAGGATGATGGGGTTGGAGGCCAGCTTGGGCAACATAGGAGACTCCATCTCAAAAACATTAAAATAAAATAAAATAAAATAAAATAAAATAAAATAAAATAAAATAAAATAATAAAATAAAATAAAATAAGGGCAAGCTGGCGTCTCTGTGGGCTCACAGCAGTGGGTGGGGAGCAGTTCAGGCTTCCCAGGTCCTGGCAGCACACTGTGCCATGGGAGCTCCTGGGCTTCAAGCTAACGGCCATGCTGACCATTGGGAATGAGATGCCTGTTGGTTCCGAGGCCATTCTTCAAATACTCTGTCTCTTTGCCTTTGGTGCTCTCTTCCTTCTCCTTCTCTTCCTCTTCCTCCTCCTTTTCCATCTCCTCTTCTTCTTCCTCTTCATTGTCACTTCTCACATCCTGAATGCTCTAGGTAAAGCAAAGAATGAGCTGTGAGTGACAACATTCTAGAAGTATTTCATGAGTGTGTACACGTACGGGTCTAGGTGAGAAAGCTCGCTCCCAATAAAGAACCCCAATGCCAACATATCAGCCTTCCCAGAGGCAGACCACGGCACAAATCAGAAACAGACTTTAAGGACTGAAATCTGGGGCTGGACTGCAGGCTCAGTGGTTAGAGCACTTGTGGCTCTTGCAGAGGACCAGGCTTTCAGCCATCTGGAATGCCAGTTCCAAAGAATCTGTTACTCTCTTCTGGCCTCCATGGGTACATGACACACATACAGTAAGTACACATGCACACATACACACAAAACATTCATAATACAAAGTAAATCTAAAAATGCCATAAAAATGAAATTTCTATTATGCCATTGACAATACAAATATATATATTTGTGTGTATATATATATATTCATAGAACTAAAAACTAAGAGAAAAAGCCTCAGGCTGGTGAGGTGGCGTAGCAGTCTGGAGACCCAAGTTTGATGCCCAGACCCCAAGTGCTAGAAGGGGAGAACTGACTCCCACAAGTTTTCCTCTGACTCACACATGCCCACCACGACACACACCCCACATAAATGAATGTAACTATAAAGTGCCCATTTTATTAATAATATTTGAATTCTTTTCTTTAGAAAGCAAACATTAAACAAAAAGCCTCGCCCTGGGTATGGACTATTTCCCTTTGAGTTATTGGTCAGGAGGCTCTAAAAGACCCCTAAAGCAATCCAGGCTATTACCATTGTACTTAGTTTTCCACAGAACTTGTAGGTAAGACCCTATTGCTGAAGACAATATACACTTCAGCCCCAGGATTTGGAAAACTCACGCTGGTGCTGACCTGGAGGCTTCTTCCTGGAAGCCCAGCTCCCACAGTGCTAGCATTTCAAGATGCTAGGCAGGCTGCAAGGGAGAAAGACAGTGCAGTCTTGCCCAACTATGAGCCCTGTGAACTAGGATAGTGATTCATCTGGCAAGATGCCAGGTGCCCGTTGGTACAGGAGTGGCATGAGTGTCTGGGAAGGGGGGAGGGGGAACCAACAGCTATCTGATTGGATTTAAAGGTGTTCAACAAGAAGGAATGCGTGCCTGGTGCTGAAAGCCTTGCCAAGGATGCTTGGCTGCAGGGGAGAACCTATTCCTATCATCTTGCTGGACTCACAGACTAGCCAGCTGTCTTCTAACTATTTATCTGTATACGCAAAGGGCAGTCTGGCTCACACAGCCCAGCAGAGAAGCTTCTTTTTGCAGTGGATGGAGGTTCACTCAGAAAACCACAAAGATCAAAGTGCAGACAATAAGTGGCTGTCGAATGCTCCTGCCTAAACAGGGTATCTATACCACACACCTTCTCCCCATGGCTCAGGGAACATCATAGAAGAGGGTACAGAAAGACTGTCAGAGCCTCAGGTGAGAGACATGAGTCCTGCAGACGTGACAGGCATTGCACACAGGAGCTCTGAGAAGCTGGGGTTGCCTGCGCACGATCAATCTAGTCAATATTCCAGCAGATGGGCAGTGGGACTCACAGAGCCACATACTTGGTTGAGAAGCTCCAAGAAGTGGGTGGCTGTCAAGGAAGAAAGTCAGTTCTCCTCAGCTGCAGGGTCCTGGGTAGGTTACCCATGATACAGTGGCCAGCCCTACCTATACCCATGTGTATATGGACAATACTAATCAACTCAGTGGGCTTTGGCTGGATGGATAGGTAGGTAGGTAGGTAGGTAGGTAGGTAGGTAGGTAGGTAGATAGATACATAGATAGATAGATAGATACATACATACATACATACATAGACAGAGGACATGAGTTTGGAAGGTGGAAAAAGGGAAAGAGCCTGAGAGGAGTTGAAAGCAGGAGAGGTAGATTTGATTAAAAATGTTACATATGAAGGAAAAAGCAGAAATAAAAATGAAAAACAATGTTTTTTTCTAAGTAAAGTATTAGTCGCTAAGCATTTAGTTGTCAGGATATTTTTATTGCTGAGAATTACAGTGCTTTCTATTTTCATTGTAAAACAGAAAGCTTCTTTGGGGACAATTCTTTACTGAACTGTGTTTATTCTCCAAGCTTCTTATAGTAATCATGCACAGAAATCTCCTAGAATGACACCGCCCCCAGGGAGGAGGGTGAAGTGTCTGTCAATCAGGCCTCAGTGTGAAAAATAAAATACTGTGTAACCTAGGAAAACGAAAGAACTCTGCAAATCCAGCGCCTAATATTACCTCAGGTCACGTGCTTGGCCAATTCAGTGTCTTTCCTAAACACAGCTTAGAAGAAGGAGAAAATGCATGGAAGGGAATCTGTCTCCCCCTCACATTTGCCAAGATTTTCAGATATGGAGGAAGAGGCAACTGCACTCTGAATTTCTGTGCATGTAATCAAAAGATTACATTCTGATTTGTTCAGAACTTCACAATTTCTGAAGACAGGTTACTAGTGACAAAAGTGCCAAGGACATGTGCGTTACCACGCTCACACCTGTGTCAGCTGTGCTTCGATAGCCTTCCCATCCGTGACAGTATGTGAATACGACAGGCACCTGGCAGCTGGGCTATGCTCTCTGGGATAGTCACATACACACACTTCACACAAACCTGTACAAAGTTGTTGGAAATGCTTTTCATTGTTATGCTTTTACGACAGCTGGGTATTGTGTTGTTTAAAATTATGTATAGAGGGTTCCTAAATCACCTAAGAATTGAACCGCAGGCTAGTAAAGGCTTGTGTGTCTGGTAGAATGAAGAATCTCTGGCTCTGACAATGAGTCAAAGCTCAGACAGGAGTCCTGCGGATGTCCTGTCGGTAAGACTCTGCTGGGTTGATACGCAGATGTCTGTATGCTACTCAAGAGCTAATAATACAGATTCAAAAGTGTGTTACTCACATATTAATAAAACATCACTTTACGTTCAATTTCATTTTCCACACGACATCTCTAATATGATTAACAGTCCTGACACTTGCAGGGCATGCCAAGGGGCTGACTAAACTGAGCAGTCAGTGTGGCCAGTAAAATGTCCCACAACAATCATTGCTTAACAGAAATAGAACACTGGTAAGTGTAGGTTTGGAGCGGGTGTGTGACTTTGACAAAGCCACCACCCAGCAAGGAGCTACACAGGGTGCTAACGTGGTGCTCTACAGTCCCCTGCTGGATGGAGCTGGGTGGTGTAAGCACTGGGAAAGGGCAGACCCAGGAGGCCTATGACCCAGATACGAGGAAGCCGTTTTTTTCTCCCTGGCTGAGCACTGGCTATCTGCTCACCCTTCCATTTTGACCTTGACCTTGATAGCTTCAGGATTGGCCTTAGATTTTAAAATAATAAAAACCATCCCTAACAATTTGTATTTGTATTAGATTAGACAGACACTGACAAGTTCATTATATATCAATTAAAATGGGTGTTCATCTGGGTGTGGTGGAACACGCCTTTAATTCTAGCACTTAGAGGCAGAGGCAGGTGGATCTTTATGAGTTCAAGGCCAGCCTAATCTATAGATAAGTTCCAGGCCAGCCAAGGCTACATAAAACCAAACAACACAAACAAAACAACAAACACCCAAAAAAGATGTTCAAGGGCTGGGGCGATGACTCAGTGGTGAAAGCATTTATAGCATAAGCCTTATGATTGAGTTTGGATCCCCAAAACCTACATAAAGCCAGAGAAAGAAGCCAACTAGTCTGTTATCGCTATATTCCTATGGCAAGATGGGAGGAGACAAGAGAGTCCCGAGAAGCCTGTTGGGCTGGCCAGCCCGGCTTATATGGTGGTGGTAATTATGGGAGACCTTGTCTCAAACAAGATGGAAGGTGAGAACAGATACCTGAGGTTGTTTTCCAACCTACACATATACACTGTGACACACAGATAAGCAACACAACACACTAAGACATGCAGACCCACACACAAGAGTGCTCAAGATTTAGAAGTAGATTTGGCAACTTATTAATGATTTACAAGGCACCATTTAAACAGACTCTAGCTGAGAGATGCTAGACAAATGAAATTCTCTAATGAGCTGGAGTCAGAAAATCTTAAGTAACACAACTATATTCTAGGAAAGAAAATGCAACTGAAATGATCTTTCCAGCAATTAAAATACCTAACAGAAATAAGAACCCAAATACTTTTTGTTTTGGGGGGGGGGTTCCAGGAGTACACACGTGTGGCAAAGAACAGTGTTTTCTAGAACACTACTATGTGCTGTGAGTTTCAAATTTGCCTGGTACAAACAGCATTCCTGCAACCAGCCGGCCCCACTTATTTTACCGTGCTTCTCCCTTGTTGCATTCCAACCCTAATGCCAGGTTCTCTTTCTGGGCCACTAGAACTTGTCTCGTGCAGATTTTTGGCCTTGGACCTTCTACAAGTCACTAAAGGACCAAGAAAATGAAGCATATACAGAAGGGTCCAAACCTTTGAAGAGTAGAGGGTAGGTCTGTGCTTCAGCAGCCGCAGCGCTGTGCAAACTCCAAATGGATCTTATGCTCACCAAGGCATACAGGGACATGTGCTGCTCATCTCCCCCCCCCCCCACCCACACACACTCCAAGGTCTTGAGAGTCCCCGCCAAAGACTTTCAATTACTATTCTGTTTCTATTCTGACTATGTGAGATCACTTGTTCCTAGGATTAGGAAAAAGCGTTCTAGCATTCAGCCGACCTTTCCCCAAAACCCGCCTGGTTCCTCTAGAGCAGGAGTTCTCAAGCTTCCTAATGCTGTGACCCTTTAATACATTTTCTCATGTGGTGACCCCCCCCACTATAAAATTATTTTGGTAGCTACTTCATAACTAATTTTGCTACAGTTGTGAATCATAATGTAAATATCTAATATGTAGGCTGATATTCAACACCCAGGAAAGGGTTTTTGACCTCCCAAAGGGATGTGACCCAAAGCTTGAGGACTACTGCTCTAGAACAAGGTATTGCTATTTATTCCAGTTGAAGATTGATGAATA